TTTATCTTCCAGCTCATTAGCCCTAACTTCCATCTCTTCAGTTCTACTCCTTTGTCCATTCAGTGTATTGTCCATTTCTGATACTCTATTATTAATTGCTTGGATCTCTTTCTGTATGTTTTGAATTATTTCCAATGCTGTATCTATCTTGTTTGATTGTTCTGGTAGCACTTTCCTGACTTCTTCCTTATTTTTCTCAACTCCACTGTAAAGTATTTTTATACATTTTATAATCATTTTTTTCTGAATTCCTTCTCAGGCATTTCCAAAGCCTGCCCTCCTTCCAGTATGGAGCGTAGGTCTACTTCCAGCTCATTTGCCTCAGTCACTTTATCTCGTTTCTAAACATGTGCTGATATGGTCATCTGCTTCTGTTTTTTGGGACTATTCAGGAGTTATCTGCAGCCTTAATACTTAGGTGGGTGGGTGTTTTGGTATTTTTTATGCTTTCTGATTGCCTCCAGTTAGATGTGATCAGGAGATGGGCTTCTCTTTTCATTCTTCTTCCTGAGAAATTTCAAGATGCCTCTGTTTGTTGTTATGATGTAATTCAAGATTTAATTGTCATCCTGTTTCCTTTTTAGTTTGCCTGTCCCACTCCACAACCCCTGTTCAGGCTTTTTTCCTGGTGATATACAGTTCAGGGCCAGATGTGGCTCTTTAGTGCTGCCATTTGGTTTTAAGTGGAAACTGTCCCTTTAAATTTTCAGGAGATCTGTGAGCATAGTAATAGAACCCTCTGTGGGTGGGGGTGGGGTGTACACTCTAGTCACCAGAATGGAGGTGCGCAGACAGCAAGAGACCAGTGAACAGATACAAAAAGCAAAAAACGAATGTCCACACCTTTATTTCCATGGTTCTGTCAGGTATCCATGGCTGCTCTGATCCTTCTCCCACTTGGTCTTGCCCAAGATGGTGGCTGCAGGAGCAGCTGAGCACCTTGGATTAGAAAGCACTGGACTTCTTGCTTCTGCTACAAATTCCACTGGCTGTAAGCCTTCCAATGTTATAAATATTCCTTTATATGTGGTTCAGAGTTCTGGAACCATCCCCTGAGCCTGCCTTGTCCAGTATTCTGTGTTGTTGCTGATGGAGCACCTCACTGTATTTCCACCCTTTCTGCTATCTTGTTTGTTCTCCCCATTACAATTATTTTATGTCTGTGTTTCTTCCTGGACTCTAATCTCCTAAAAGGCAGGGACTAGGAAGTGACCTGATATGTATTATTCAAGGAGTCCTGGTGGTACAGTAGTTAAGTACTTGACTATGAGTCAGAATTGACAATGTCAGTAGGTTTACTAGCAACTTTACATATGGTATCTCACCCAGAGTCAGTATCTCTGTTTCATCCTGTATGCTTTAGCACAGCTGGAAGAAAGAGAAGGAAGAAAGGAGAAAAGGGAGAGAGGAGAAAGGAAGTTTATTTTCATGTGTCAAAGCTTTTCTGTCAAAGGTGGTGGTGGTGGTTATGTGTTAT